AGCTGTATGCATGGAAATTTCAGGTTTGGACTTTTCTTGCATGGGTTCAGGTGCATAAACTCCTAAATGTTAAATAATCACTTTGCCTTTCCCATCCTGGGTCCCAGGTGAAGCAGAACACATTTGTTTAGTCTTCTGTTGACAAAATGGTTCAAACAAATATCTGAAGAATTGCGATTACTGAAATGTAAAATTTAGAAGGATCAAATTGGAAGCCTTTGCTGTTTAATGAATTTTGCTTAAAATTTGGCTCTGAGTTTCCTCTCCAAAATGTCTTTTCTTTTTTCCTTTTTTTCCTTTTTTAAAATAAGAAAATTTACATTGCTGACAAATTGGAATTGACTCAGAGGTGAGGGTAATGCAAAGGAACAGGCATTGCTTACATAAACTTTTCTTGCATAGGTGCTGCTTGTCGTAAGTGTAGCAAATCCCAGCTTGCCTCTGAGCAAGCTACACAAAGGACTATTTCTTAGAGCACGTTAAAATGCTTTTCTATCTTAATTAGTATTTCAGATTTCAAGAATATTAATTTACTCTAAGTAGAAGGCCTTTTAATCATGTGTTTTTGCATAGATGTCTACATTTCATTATTTTTTTAAGGTGCAGTGGTATAGCAATAATTAAACAGCCTCAGCTGGTATGATATGTGGACTGAGCACCAAGGTCAGCCTGGTCATTGCCCTGTCATTGCACAGCTATATCACAGATTTGCTTCTGTGTTTTATCAGGTCTGTTTTCTCACCCACTTGTTTTTTACCACTCTGCTAGGGAGCCAGAATCCAAGTACCACATTCACATTGTACAGGTTTAAATGTACAAGGTAAAAGTCATGTGAGGGTGAAGCTCATTTTAAAGCAGCATGAGCTGAACTGCAGGATTTTTTTTTCCTTTTTGCTTATAATTGAATCTCTGTGTTTGGCACTGTACAGCTTTCTCCTCTCTGCTCCATAGTCATATTTATTGAAAAATGGGAAACTCTGGCCAGGGCTAGCTATCACATGATAATACAGCAGCATGGATGTTTGTTTTTGTTCTTCGGTACATCTGGAAAGCTCCCTCGCAAGTCCTGGGCTCTTCTTGCGCAGGTAGTGAGCCATTGCTCTGCCTATCCTGCTAGCCCTCTCAGAACCTGTTCCCGTCGCTGCTTCCTGGAGTCGAACCATCCGTGTTTGACTTGGCTCTGTGCACAGGCTGACTTGTGAAACTGTAAGGAGACGGGGTTTTTTGTTGTTGTTTTTTAAGTTCATCACAAGCAAAGTATTACCATATGTTTCAGTTGCTTATTAGATGTACTGGGCTTTTCAGTATTTCCTTGTTCTATATTGCAGCTTTTTAAAAGGAGCTTAAGCAAGAGGAAGAACATGGCCACATCACCTAGGATTCCCTTCTCTTTTGCAGTATTGGCCTGTGTTCTAGATTAAAAAAAATGTAGGCATTGTTACTATTTAAAGATGGAAGATAGCACTGATGACAAAACTGAGAAATTGTTAGACTTCCTTAATTTTTTTTTTAACGTTTCCAATTGTTAGGCTTGGCAATTGGTTCGATTTTACGCAAATACGAGCGTTTTGTTCACGTAACCCGATGCTTGCAGGAACGGGTTAGGTTTTAGCGTTCAGTTACCTGTAAGCTTTCCTTGGCGTCAGTTCGCGGACGTATCCACGTCCGTGGTGGAATCTCATTAAACACTATCTGGAGGAAACTTGGGCTTCCTTGGTGGAGGGGAGATGGAGGGGAAGGCTCCCTGCCAAAACGTGCGCTCCCACACTGGAAGCGCCTGGAGCGCGGGGCAGCGAGCACGCGCTTCCCAGGGACACGGCACGGTGCAACGCCTGCTGAAGACACCGGGTCCAGGCACAGGGGATTTAAGTGCCCCAAAATGCCTGTATCGTGAAATAGCAGCATGCATTTGGTCTGGGTGCTGCAATGAGGAGCTTCTGGTTTTTTTGTTTGTTTGTTTGTTTGTTTTTTGACCAAAAGGAAAAAGTTTAATCCTTGTCCTGATTTTTTTTTTCTATTCTTGCTTCTTTCATTTACCCTTCCAACAAGGAAAAAATCAAAGAAAGGAAGGCTAAAAAGGAAATAGAAAATGATAGTTGCCTAATTCGATCCACAGTAAAGAAGGTTACTTTTTTTCTTTCAAGAAATATTACAGTTTTCTTGGGGGGGCTCCCCTTGCATGGAAAACACCATATTTAAATTGCAAGTTTTTGCTGCCTTGCAGCATAATCCTTGATACAGGTGTGCTGAGATGGACTTTGACACAGGTCTCTAGGAGAATGACTCTCAAGTGTCACCTTCGACGGGAGCCCTGAGCAAGCGTGCGCTCCAGGTTCATCCTCGTCCATAGAGATGTTGGCCAGCGCAGGCAAGGGGCCGAGCAAGATTGAGGAGCCCCAATTCCCACCCATCCTGAATCTCTCGGGGACGTCGGCTGCTGCCCGGGTGGGACAGTGTGCCTTCACGGCACAGCCGGTGTGTTAATTTTAGCTGTCAAAGAACATGGAAAGAGCAGGGATAACATGAACCCTCTGCTTGGACAACATTTCTCTAAGAAACTGTCGCTAATGCCCAGCCCTGGTGCTCAGCATATACACTGGCTTGCTTGCTTATAGGCATGGTTCTTGCCCATGTTTGACCAATCTGTGATTAAACATGTCTGGGGCCTTTGAAGTGCAAGCTTTATGCATAAAAGCTAATATATGGCTGAGGTATCTCTTTTCCCCAGCACCACACAAGTAATGAGCAGCAAGACGAGGTTGGGCTTCATTGAAGACCTGTCACATCCCTTGCAAGCACCTACTTACCCCTGTGCCAAGGTACCCTCAATGGTTTGCCAGAAGCACCGTTTGCTTTCGCATTAGGCTTTTTCACCGCTTCTTGAAATAAATATATTAGCACTGGAACAGGCTGCCCAGAGAGGTTGTGGAGTCTCCTTCTCTGGAGATCTTCAAAACCCGCTTGGACGCAGTCCTGTGCCACGTGCTCTAGGTGACCCTGCGTGTGCAGGGGGGTTGGACTAGATGACCCCTAGAGGTCCCTTCCAACCCTAAGCATTCTACGATTCTATGATTCTATGATATATTTCAGTATTCTGCGAGCTGCTCAGGTGACTGGTGTGGCCCCGCGATGGCCTCCTTCCCCCAGGCGTCGATGGCCGCGTGGTTGGTTTTCGCTGGCGAGGCCGGCGCTGCCTCACGGGGCAGGCCCTGCCAGGCCGGCCGGGGGAGGGCCGCGAACGCGGACACCGGGCGAGCGCTGCCTGTTGGCATTCCCCCACCATGACCAAAGACTGCTGTCACACTGAGCAGGTCTCCTTGAGTAAACATTTGCTTTGTAAATGGCTTCGGGTCTGTATTTAATGGAACGCAGGCAATATGCTGGCAATAATTATAAAGGTAGGATGCAAGCGAATTGACAGGGGAGATAAAGCAGATTAAAGCTCCAGAGCATAATATTTATGCCCCAGCCTTCTGTGTACCGTGATAACAAAGGCAGTGTTACATATACTTCACACTTGTGTCTTTCACCACTCGGCAACTATGAGTCCAATTGCTTTGTGAGCGGCTCGGTTATCTCTTCATTTTCAGGGAATTAAAAAAGGTCCATGGAAGTTTATATAGCGATAAAAAGAACAACAATGGGGGTTTGTTAGGCACAGGACAGGGAGGGGGTGGCTTCAGGATTTTGTCAGAAGACATTTCTAATTGCAGGATGTTTTTTTAATGAGTAGACACACGTCCTCTTCCTTGATGTGGAGGGCAAAGGTAGCATGGGGAGAATGAAAGGCAGGAGGCAATAGAGATGTGTTAAAAAAAAAAAAAGTGTGAATTAATACTCACTGGCAAAATCAAACTATTCTGGATTCCTTGGTATTTTCTGCTTTAGCAAAAAATATTAATATATTCATGCTTTGGCAAAACATTGGGAGGGGCATAGCCAGGAGGACCCGTTTCACGTGCCACTTGTTGGAAGCCGAGTTGGGATGTGGCCTTTGAGTATCAATGTCGAGAGCTCAGGCCCAGCGCAGGGCTGGAAGCCCAGGTGTTTAAAAGGTGAAACACTTGCCGACACGTTAGCCAAGTGCTGCTGCACGGTCCTTATTGCCCGTAGCATAGCTTTGATTGTTTTTTTCTTTTTTTCTAATGTAAGTCTGCTTTATGTAACAGACTCTCGCTTAGATGAATTTGGAGCGAGAACTGAAGAAATGCAAGAAATCATAGCCATAAGGTGCGGATATGAAAAGACATTGCTCCTGCATTTATCTTTGGGCTACGAAGGGGTGTCAGAAATGTTGGACTTGTTTCAGGTGCTCCTCCTCTGACCTGCCTCCCCTTCAAGGGACGGAAAAAAAGAGCATTAGTATGTTTTTTTTTTTCTTTTTTCTTTTTCTTTTAAAGAAAGTATACTATTCATAACAACTTCAATAACCATCAGTGAAAGTTTATGGAAGGGAAATAAGTATAAGGGTTTGAAGCAAATGCGGGCACAGATATTTGAGTTGTGTGTGGTAGAGTGTTTTGAGCAGTGGTTTAAAAAGGCAGTGTTTACACTTTTGCAGCTGCATGCTGTTGAGGTCTGATTTAGCCTTTCTCTGTCGCTGAATTTTTTAGTCTCTTTTAATAATATTTTTGTAGTAAAATTGTAGGAGAATTAAATGATGCAAAAGCCAACGAAGTATTTTATGTCAAAAAACGGAAAGATTGTCAAAACACTGTGGCCTCAGCTCTTATTTCACCGTCTGCTCCCATGTGATATTTGGTTCTCTTGTGCTGTATTCTTTGTACTCCCAGTGGACTTAATAGCTAGAAACTGTTAAAAAGTGGCTGTGATTAAAATGGTCTTTCAGTGGCAACACGCTTTTGACACACTGTGGCTCTGTTCTGCATTTAGCAGCTTCCAAGTATCATGGGGTGAGAGGAAGGAGGCTGGCCTAATGCGAGAAAAATGTTCTTAAATGTAGAGCAGTCAGTAAGTCATTTGATTCCTTTCCTTTCCAGGTGTGACATCTGTTGCATTACCTTCCGTACCCATCGGGGCTTGCTGCGCCATAATGCCGTTATCCACAAGCAGCTTCCCAGGGACCCCACGGGAAAGCCTTTCATTCAGAACAATCCTTCGATCCCTGCCGGCTTCCACGATTTGGGATTCACGGACTTCTCCTGTAGGAAGTTCCCCCGCATTTCTCAGGTACTCTTTGCTATTAACAGTTTTAAGAGACCCGATGATAAAATGCGTATCTTTTGAATTCACCGAAAGATTTTTCTTAGGTGAGAGAGCCTGGGTATGGAGTATTCTGTGGAAAGCACATAGTGTTACTGCTACGGCAGGGTCTGCCTAAGCTTCAAACATTTCCCTCCTCCATTTTGTTTTTTAATTTTCCTCTCTCTCTTTTTCTATATAAAGATTTTTTTTTGAATGTCCTAGTGGATAGCTATTGTTGTAAAGGTTTATAAAAATATTTTAAGGGAAGATGTCTTATGTTGTTGGATGCTTTCCCCTCCCAGCCTTCCCATTAGTTCCCTCCTTCCCCAAAGCATTCTACATCTAAAACCTATAAGGAGCACTCCCTATAAGGGAGGAAAGTTAATTATTTATTTTAATTTACCGTAGCAAGGATGCAATTAGGTTGTGGAAGATTTTATTATCAAACTTTGAGAAATCACCTTACATACTAAATAGTGACCTGTTTAGTGACCAATGTCTTCACCAGTCTGTGCTCCAAACACTTGCACAAGGTCTGAAGATTTTGTATCTTTGTGCAGAAGAAGCTGGGCCGGGTGGAGGCAACGTAAGAATTTTGAGATTGTAAAGTTCTGGACTGGATGATATTGTTCCTCCCTCAGTTTGAAGAACTTTGCCTGCCATAGTTATTATGAGTCTGGATGAAACTGCTTACGGATTTAAAAATAAATAAATGAATAAAAAGGAAAAGCAACATCACAGCCCAGCAGGACTATCCTTATTTGGAATCTGCACTTTTGTTATTCTCCTGAATTTCAGCATTGATTTCTAGCCCTTTTGACTGCAAGGTTCTATACCTGAAGCTTTACAGGAGAGCACATAAGTCATTCTGTAACTGCAGTAGAATTTCAATATTAAAAAATGCATATTCAGGAAAAGAGAAGACATTTTTAGCGATTTGTTTTTGTTTCATTTGTAATTAATGGCAGCAATTAAAGGTTAAATGGTGTTGCTTTTATGATTCTTTTGCAATATAATTCTGCTTGTACGGTGAGGAAAGACCTACAAAATATCTGAATCAAGTTAAATTATCGCTTTTGCTCCCCTTCGATGCAGACCCTTTACATCATATGAGCTTTCTGGCTAGCATGTAAATACAGCTTTTGGATCCATGATCATTTTCAGGAACAGGTACAAAACCGATTTGTGAAGATCAGTATTTTTCTTGTGAGAAGAAGTATAATTAGATTTCACTAACCAGAAGCCTGTATGGTTTTGGCTTTGCTTTTGGTTTATTGTTTCTTTGGAAGAGTTATTTTTGGCCTGTGTTGCTTTCTCAGATGCTTCTGTTTGCTTTCTTTCTTTTTTCTCTGTAGCAATAAAGACGATGGTTATGTTGTCCAGCTTACTGAAGCTAGCTGACCAGTCTGCTGGGGCTCTTGTCCTGTCAGTGAGGGGAGAGATATTTCTGGAAGGGCAGTTCAGGACAGAAATGTATTTGAATAGGACTCTGCATAGCCCTCCAAGGGAGTTTGTCCTTATAGAAGAGAACTTTCGGAAAATCAGACCCTAATTTGGATACACAACTTAACTGCATGAAAGTTATGGAGCAAGATGGGTAGTGATGAGTGATCTATACTAGGTGGGTGGTGATTCCTCTAAACTCCTTAACTTGGGCAATAAAGGACAATGAAACTGTTTTCTTTTTCAGCAGAGTGATGTCTTTACTAGTTGGAGATGTCTAAATATTAAGGCTGGCTGCCTTATGTCTCCGTATCTTGTAGGTCTGGTGTGAGACGAATCTGCGAAGGTGCATCAGCGAATTCCATCGTTTTATCTGCGAGACGTGTAACAAGGCATTCCCCATGCTATCGGCGCTCAAACTGCACACGGAAACCCACGTGGTGGATCAGGGAAAAGACAAGCACAAGCCACAGTCTGCAGCCCCATCCGGTGAGAACCCAGACCAGAAAGCCTTCATGGCATCCTTGGGCCTACAGTACACCAAAGACATCAAGCCTGTCAAGCAGGAGGACGATACGCAAGACGAGGTCCAAGAAATGCGGCTCAGAGCACTGAAGAGTAACCTACCTCAGGAACCCGGCAGCGCCGGCCTGCTCAGCCTCTCTCCTCTGGAAGCTGCCTCGATGGGAGGGTCATTTTCAGTCCTTCCCCCTACAAAAGAGAATATAAAGCTCCTCTCCCTGCAGCCGTTCCAGAAGGGTTTTATCATCCAGCCTGACAGCAGTATTGTGGTAAAACCCATCTCCAACGAGTCTGCTATTGAGCTGGCTGACATTCAGCAGATCTTGAAGATGGCTTCTTCCGCTCCTCCTCAGATCAGTCTTCCTCCACTTTCCAAGGCACCTTCTGTCCCTGTGCAGTCCATTTTCAAGCATATGCCACCGCTGAAGCCAAAGCCTTTAGTAACACCCCGAACAGTCGTCGCAACTTCTACACCTCCTCCCCTTATCAGTGCCCAGCAAGCCTCCCCTGGTTGCATCAGCCCAAGCCTCCCACCGCCGCCTCTGAGGCTGATCAAGAACTCGGTGGAGTCCTCTTCCAACTCTCACCTCCCCCAGCCGGGAGCCAAATCGAGTCCTTCCTCACAGTTGCTCCTCCAACCCAAAGTAGAGCCCTTAACTCAGCACGAGATGAAGACACAGCTGGAGCAGGACAGCATCATTGAAGCTCTCCTGCCTCTGAGCATGGAAGCCAAGATCAAGCAGGAGGTGACAGAAGGGGACCTCAAAGCCATCATTGCAGGGGCAGCGAGCAAGAAAGCCCCAGCCATGAGGAAAGTCTTGTACCCGTGCCGATTCTGTGACCAGGTATTTGCTTTCTCTGGCGTCCTGAGGGCTCACATCCGCTCTCACTTGGGTATTTCCCCATACCAGTGCAACATCTGTGACTACATTGCAGCTGACAAGGCAGCGCTGATCCGGCACCTGCGGACGCACAGTGGGGAGAGACCTTACATATGTAAGATCTGCCACTACCCCTTTACAGTGAAAGCCAATTGTGAGAGGCATCTGCGAAAGAAGCACCTCAAAGTGACCAGGAAGGATATCGAGAAGAACATTGAATATGTCACCAGCAATGCTGCAGAGATGGTGGATGCCTTCTGTTCCCCAGACACCGTGTGCAAGCTGTGTGGTGAGGACCTGAAGCATTACCGGGCACTCCGCATCCACATGAGGACACACAGTGGCTGCCAGAAGAAGAAGCCATTTGAATGCAAGGAGTGTGGCACTGCCTTTTCAGCCAAGAGGAACTGCATTCACCATATCCTCAAGCAGCACTTGCATGTGCAAGAAAGGGAGATTGAAAATTACATCTTGGCAGTGGACTGCAGTGCTCAGGAGAGCCAGACAGATCCCCCTTTATTGGATGACAGCACTTATCTGGACCGCAAACCCATCACATCTTTCCTGGAGCCACAAAATGGCTTCTTGCTTGGGACACCATCTCATGTTCCCATCAAACTTGAACCTGCAGGCAACTTCCCAATGGATTTTGATGAGCCCTTGGATTTCTCTCAGAAGAACAAGAGCCTGAGTGCTGTGCAAGTGAAGCAGGAGAACCTGTTTGGCTCTTCTCCCCTGTCCCTCTACGACTGTTCCATGGAGCCCATTGACCTGTCCATCCCCAAAGTCCTGAAGAAGGATAAAGATGATATCCCAAGCGAAGCCAGGAAGCAAGAGCTGGCTGCTTCTGGGAATGGCGATATAGCCTTTAACTGTCAGCCATGCCCACTGGCCTTCGGTGCCAATGGGAACCCAGAGAAAAACAGGGCTGTCAGACATTCCCAGCCACTGAAAGGTTCTTTGCATTTGACTGTCCCGATCATTTCCCCAGCTCTCCTTGGCAATTCTGCCTTGCTGAGACCCTTGAGGCCTAAGCCACCGCCACCTCTCTTGCCAAAGCCTCCAGTAACTAAAGAGCTGCCACCACTGGCTTCCATTGCACAGATCATTTCGTCTGTGTCTTCTGCTCCCGCTTTGCTGAAAACGGAGGCCACAGACGACGGCCCCAAGGCAGCGAGCAGCTCCACTGGGTGTGATAAATCAGGGAACGCCAAAGCAAAAGTGACAATCGTGACCGCCGTTCAGAAAGACTCCGGCCTTCCCAGTGACCTGACTCAGGCATGTGATCCAGAAAAGTCTCCCATTGCCGATGCTGGGTTGACTAAGAAAAGAGGTAGGAAGAAAGGAACAAAAAATAAGCCTAAACTTAGCAGTGGTGTGGATCTGGAGTCAAGTGGGGAGTTTGCCAGCATAGAGAAGATGTTGGCTACCACAGACACTAATAAATTTAGCCCATTTCTGCAGTCCACTGACAATTTCAAGGAAGAAAGTGGCAGAAATGGAACAAGTGAGGATGAGAAGGAAACTGCTGAAGATAAGCTGCTGAGAGGGAAGAGGAACACTTACTCAGACTGCCTGCAAAAAATCCCCTGTCCTCACTGTCCTCAAGTCTTTCCATGGGCAAGTTCCCTGCAGAGGCACATGCTCACTCACATAGGTAAGACAGCCTTGTGCTGTAAAGGAGATTGTAACTTCTGGGGATTTTCCTTGTGAAATGGCCCACTCCTGTGAAGGAATGGTCCTTTCTTCCCTTCTCGTGGTGCTTCCTCTCTCTAGTGTCCAAATACTATCCTGCACTGCAGATCTTCAGCTGTTCCTGTTGTATTGAGGTGATGTTCAGTTTTTCAGTGATGGAGTAATATCTTTGCCTATGTGTGTCAGGTGGGCAAATTACCTTAGGGCAAACCCACTAAAACTCATTTAGCTTCAGTGGAAGGGAGTTATGTGGCATAGCTGGGAAAAGAATTTGGTTTCAGGTTTTCTGTTATTCCTGTCTTATTTTCAAGATGAACGTGTGTGTTGAACATTTTGTTGTACCTCATATGGTTTGTTTGACTGATTCCAGTGGCCTGTATATCTACTTAGAAACGATATAAAGATCTATAAAAATGAGACCAAATAAGAATAGAATTGTAGAAGGAAAATAATATAGTGTTTATCATTTTTTTTCTTGTGGTAGCTTTTTTCATAGATCAAAGAAGGAGGATGCAAGAAGTATTATCCTGAACATTACATAGTAACTTGCCCCTCTGGAGTGTTTCTTAATGTTAGATCGCTAAAGGTTGGCTTACGTAAGGCATGAAGCGCTATATGGAGTCTTTAATACTATGCCACAGTATAAGCTCAAACCTGGTATAAACAAAATGGAGGCATGGGGAGATTGTTTTAGGTTTGGGTTAATTTTTCATTTTTTGCTATAAAGGAAATACTAAATCGAATGCTGTACTAATTTCAAGTTCACTCCTTTTTCTGCCCACATTATAATAAATTAGCAGATTCTCATCCTGTTTTGGGAGAGAAAAAAAGAGCGAAACTGTACTATTTATTGCACCTCTTTAAGTCATTCACAGTTCTTCTCTATCTCTTCATTATGAAATCTCAACTCCCAGCATAAAGAATAAAAGTCAGGGATATTTGTAAGAAACTTCTGGGAACTGAGTACAGACTCATAAGAGAAAACTTTTTTTTTTTTTTTTTTGGAATTGAGGCTTTATGAACAGTGATTCTTGTGCCTCTACTGAAAAGGGAAAACTGAGGAGGTAAAAGACGTTGGCTAAGAGGTTTAAAGTGAACCTGAGCTGCAGAGCAGTGCCTGTGACTAGTTTGCTTTGGGTGACGCGAGGACATAACTTGCAAGGTGTCAGTGCAACAGGGAGGCTATTGTTTTCTGGCCTGCACCAACCAAATTATTTCATCTTGTTAAGCGTACAGTTTACTTTCAATGGTGAAGGAGTGCTCTTTATTCGGATCAATTGTTTTCCAACTCCCTACCCTCCAAAAAAAATACCCGGCTACAGAAGAAGGCAGCCGTCCGCTCCTGAGGCGGAAACAATAGCGCACGGCTTTGCCCGGACCAGGGGGTGACCTGCTTGTGGATGGCAGACTTCCAAGGTAGCAGCGCTGGCGTAAACCCTTCGTGAAGATGAGGAAAAAACGCACTGGGGCATGAGCTGGACCAGTAGAACTTGTCTACTCCACCGCCACGGGGCTTGGAAGGAGACACCATGTTTTCAGAAAGCCTGCGCTGCAGTGCCCGGGGGAAGCGAGCAACCAGGCAGTGGCAGGGTTGGAGCCTCGGCACAGATACGGATTTTGGCCGTGCTACGGTGACTGCAGTGAGCAGTTCAGATTCACGTTGTTGCGCTCTGCCTACGCTAACAGCCAGCTCTTCCTGATTGCCATCAGAGCGGTGACGAGGGAGTCTTGGTGCTGGAGAACCAGCCCGCAGCAAACCTTGCCTGTCCTCGGGGCATCTCGTTTTTGGTGATGCTTGCAGCCTGCTTCTAAATCAGTAGTTGGCAGCAGCTTCCCTGTGGCAACGGGATAGATGAGACTTACTGGAGGAGACAAGGAAGGGCAAGATAGGAAAGCGAAGGAGCTCTAGTTGGTGACAAGCAAGCCCTGGGATGGATGCAGATGGATGCGTGCAGCAAGCACACATCAAGCAAGCCCTGGGATGCCTGCAGATGGAGCGAGCCCCATGGTGCTGATGGCTGCGAGGCGGTGCAGGAGGGGGTTGGCGGCTGTGGGATACTGTTGGGTCTGTGTCCGGGGTGGGTAGGTCGGGTTGTTCTCATAGAGACATCCAGTGTGTGGAAAAGCAATAGTGCTACACACTTTTCCTTCCTGCCTGCCTATTGGAGGAGGAAGTGTTGGAAAGCTCTGCTTTTTAAAAGGAGTCAGGAAATAAACTCTCTCCTCTTAGTTGTATTGCCCAAACAGTAAAGCTCCCGTTTTCCCTTTGCTTGATGACTGTTCCCGGACTTGCAGAGGGATAGATAACTGGTGTGGACAGGATGGCTGGGAGTCTCAGAAAGGCATATACATGCCAAGCTCATAAGTGGGGCCCTGGGAATTTGGCATTGCTGTTTTTTTATATGTTGTACCTGTGTGTGCTTGAACATGCTCAGACACTTGTTCTTAATAACTTTCCTTCTCTTGGTGTCTTTGTTGTTTGTTTTATTCCTCTGTGTTTGACTCACTCTGCCTTTTTTCGCCTTTTTTCTCCCGCTCTAAACTTTTTTTCATTTTCATCCCAAAGTAAAGAGCATCAAACAGGGCCTGTCCTGCAGATGATGCGGTTGGTCTTGTGCCTTTTGCAGCATGTGCATCAGAGTAGGGTTAACAGAAAATGAAAATAATGGTCTGCTTTCATCCCAGTGGTATCTAACATGAGCTCGCTGTAGAAAACCTAAGTCTATTCACAGGAAATCACTTAAAGAGACTCTCAGAGAAATGCTGCCAGATCATGTTTGATCCAGAATTTTTGTTTGTAGAAGTGAGATTAAACAGTTGAACTTTGGGAGTTTGGTGGTTGTTATTGTTTTGTAAGATATGTATTGGCTTGCATAACATGCAAAATAAACTTTATTTCTGTGTTTTTACAAAAAATACCTATAAATAAAGTAAATAAATATAGTTAAGCCTAACCCATGAGCCTGTATGTTCCCTTTTGATGGGAGGACACAAGTGTAAAAAGTAGTAAAAAGGCTAGACATGTTCCCTTTTGATGGGAGGACACAAGTAGTGTAAAAAGTAGTAAAAAGACTAGACGAGTTTTATAATCTTTGTTTAAGTCCAAAAAAAACCCTTTTTACCATTTGTCCTTACCTTGATAATAATACATTTCCAGTAGGACTACAGTGACAGGAGGGATATTAACTAAGGGATGGTCGTTTGTACCTGCTGAATGTTTAGATGCCCTTTTATATTAAAAGAGCTGCCTTCAGGGTTTGGCTTCTGTGAAGTGTCCAGCCTAAAATAATCTCCTGTGTTGCTAACCAAATTTTACAGCCAGTTGTGATTCAATATATGGGCACAGATATATTTTCATCCAAACCATTACCGTTCATTCATTCAGAGGGGCCCCAAATAGTTTTTTGTTTTGTTTTGTTTTGTTTTAACTGTCCTTAAAGTTGATGCTTTGGAAAGTAATCTGTTTTCCACTTGGGAACAGTGGGGTAGGATTGGCAGGGGTTTGCACAGTAAACAAGATTTCTCTGGGATTTGAGACTTCCAACCAGGATGTACATATAGAAAGAAGAGTGTCTTATCTGATTGAAGCACTGGTCTCTATGACAAATATTTTGTTGATATGAAAGTTTTAAAGGAGAGCTAAGATGCAGGTTGAATTTCAAGTAAGTAAGCCCCAGCTAATCCTGTCATTGCGTGCTTAAAGAGAAATGCGGAAAAGAATTGGGCAGTTGTGGAGCGACAGGATTTCTGCTCAACTTTGGAATCTGTGTTTTATATTTGCGCTCTGATAGGAGTGTAGAAAGTGGCAGGACTCATAACTATAAATTTATGGTTGACTTAGGAGGCATCTCAATAGAAAATGGCCTGTGAGGCTACACAAAAGCAATGCCTTGATGCTTTTTGGAAGTTTTGCTGGCACTGGAAGAAAACAGGGAGCAAGAAACACAACTTCTCAGAGATGTCTCTGGCGCTTGCAAGATGCAGGGACTCCCTCCTAAAGACTCAGATGTTAATTAAAACAGCACCAGCTTGTGGAAGGCTAAAATGAGAAGTGCTCACAGCATGATGCCAAAGAGAGGCCCTCTCGCATTGACTGAAGTTGTGTTGAATTTGCACGTGTGATAGACGTCTCAGGGGAGAGGCAGTTGTTGAGGAGCTTTTGATATAACCTATTGCAAGCTAAATCCTGGTCACCTTTGACCTGGGAAATGAGGAGGCTTTTTCCATTGGAACAGAAAAGGGCCAAACTTTGGTTGTGACAGGTTGTTCTTAGAGGATAATGACCAGGTGCCTCAGAAGAGGATGGAGAAGGTAAAGGAGGGAAGAAACAACTCCTCCCACACACACACTTTCTTACTACACATTAATAGGACAGATAAAACATATTTCTTGCTTCAGGTGAGCTTTTTGAACCCACCGATACTGTCTGCCACCAACCCCATATGATATGAGGTTCCAGGAGTCCACTGCCTGCTGTGTAAAGAAACACCTTTTAGAAACCTGTTTTAATCCACTCCGCTGCTTGTTTAATTGAGTCCCCCTCAGTTACAGAATTGCAGGATTTGGTGAGTAGCAGTTCTGTGTGCATCTTTTCTAGTGCCTTAATGATTCATAAACCTTGGTCATTTCCCAGCCCTGCTTCCCTGACCCTCTCCTCTCAGGATGAGGATCCTGAACCTTCTAGTATCTCCTCCCAAGGCCACTGCCCCATGGCTCGGGTTGTTTTGGTTGTCCTTCCATTTGCCTTCTCCATCGTCACAGGCTCCCGCCTGAGATGCAGAGACCAGAAATAATGTGCAGCTTAAAACGAGGGTCCACCGAGGCTTCACACAGTGACACCCCTTTGCTTGTTGTCAGCGCCTTTGCTGGTGGTGCCTGGCATTTTTGGGCTCTGTTTTGGCTGCTCCTGCAAGCCGAGCCAGTGATCTCGGTGAGTTGTCATAGCTGGTTCCCAGATCCCTT